CTGAGACGTTCAAAAATAAACAACACAACTGGAAGTTTTTGAAGCTGTTTTGTTATGATAGCTGCTGTTTAAGGCCGCAGTTCCCGTTCCGAATATTATCACAAGAATGCTGAGTTGTGGGCAAAAGTCGTGCCCCAGGCGGGAGTCGAACCCGCACCTCACGCTTTCCGGGCGAGTGCGCTATCCGTTACGCCACCAGGGCCGCTTTTACCCTCTCAGCTTAACGGCTTTTATGCCGTAGCCTATCAGCACTCACACGTTTAACTTGGTGAGCCGGTCAGCCGTAATCGTTAGATATCGGCAATGAACCGCGAGGCCGAAGGCTTTACAAGTTTTTGAAGCTGTTTTGTTATGATAACTGCTGTTTAACGCCGCAGTTCGCGTTCCGAATGTTATCACAAGAATGCTGAGTTGTGGGCAAAAGTCGTGCCCCAGGCGGGAGTCGAACCCGCACCTCACGCTTTCCGGGCAAGTTAAACGTGTGAGTGCTGTAAGGCTACGGCATAAAAGCCGTTAAGCTGAGAGGGTAAAAGCGGCCCTGGTGGCGTAACGGATAGCGCACTCGCCCGGAAAGCGTGAGGTGCGGGTTCGACTTTTGCCCATAACTGAGCATTCTTGTGATGTGATACAGTATTGTCACTTCCTCACTTCAAACTAAGTGGAAACCAATTTGGCGCCGCGCCATCTCGGCTTACCGGGCACATTGCATGTCTTCGTTCCTGCATTTTTAAACCGACAAGTATCTATTTCTTTTCGTCAATTGCTCAATGCTACATTTCTTCAATTTCTCACTGTCGCAAGGTATGAACACCGCCTGAACACATTGGAAAACGAACTAAAAATCTCATTTTTCGCAAACGCATTCCAGTAAGATGGTCAAGAAAGCCATCCAATGTATTAAACATATTATGACGTCTCTCTGCTTTTGATGACTAACTCCTTCACGCCGTCTAGAGAATTTTACCCACGCAATTACACCTGCTTGAAATTAACGACTGAAAACCAGATGGAACTGTTTGAGACCCTTAAAAAACAATATGACGGGGCATCTATACAGCAAACGTGAAAACACAACAGAGGGAACCAAAAAGAAACAATCGATGTTCAAAAAAAAGAAAAATGACGCTTCAACACAATGAGCACATGCAAACTGTCATCACTAGCCGCCTTGGGTGCCCCTCGCTCTCTAACACACAGGCGAGAGCGCAGACAGCGATGGTCATCCCGTAGGATGAGATGGGGCGCATTGTTCGAGGGCGACGCATTTCCCACACACGTTGACATTCTAGTCAATTCGATTGTGGGTAGTTCCGGAAAATAGCCCTCTTTTATAGGGCTTGGGATTTTTGGTGCAATATCGCGTGCGGTCTGTCCGAAATCCCACTTTTGAACAAAGTCGTTCAAGATTTCAAAGTCATGCGGGTTTTGTCGTCTCGGGATATCTGTCAAAAGCCTCCCTGTTTTTCTATGTCTCTCTCTCTTCTCTCTCGTCCGTGTGGCACTCTATGGTCATTGTGGCTTCGAACGGCTCCAGCCCGTATGATAACTACAGTGGAGCGCTCACCGGACGGTGGGGCGTTCCCTACGACCACGCCGGCGAGCGTTCCGCTGATTGCGTGTCGATGGAA